AGTTTTTCTCCACAAGTGCCTTTAACAGAAAATAAGAACCTCAGCCACACGTGGTTGTTTGCAGGGGTTGCTTTGATCAAATGTGATTTACTGTGAAGTAGTAAAGATCATTCTTTGACAATGACCCAGCACTTCCTAACTCATCTGCAGAGCTTTCCTCTGATTCCTTCAAGGGCCATCCAGATCAGACTCCAGTCTGGGAAGAGCCTGTGACAAACAGCCTACCATGCTTTCCACCCAGGGCCCAACTTGGGACCCTGTTACCAGTGGGGGCAAGAGAGGAGGAGGAAATACAGTGAGGAACAGAGAGGGCCCTTTCTCTCTATTATAGCATAGGACTTTTCAGAACTATTCCTACTGTCTTTCTGCTCAAACTGTATCATTTCCCTATGGGATATCTTGGTTGTTCATGTGAGCTCAGCATTGCACCATGTATTAAAAAATAATTTTTACATTATCTGGAGCGTTTGCACTGACTCGGGATGAGGTAAAGTGGGGACATCACAGTTTCATGCTCTCTGGGCTGTACTTCCCTCTTGGTTTGGGCTAGGCTGGGCTTGATTTTCCAAGATCCCAAGGTGAATACATCCTACCTGATTGCAGCCCTTCCTTTCCCAGAAATCATCTTATGGAATAAGCCCTGAACAAACTGTTTCCTATATCCCCTTTAACCCTTTTCCTTCCACCCAAGTGCTCTGTGACCCAAGGCCTGCTCCAGAAGGCACGAATTCAGTGCAATTCCCTCGTCCTGCCCACTCAGAGACCATCAAAAGCCAAAAATGACAGCACTGGAGTGCCAGAAGCAAGCAAGTCACCTGCAATTTCACACCTGCCATCGCTGCTTTCGTGGCAGCTGGCGAGGCGAGAAGTTGATGAAGGTCCCACTTGGCCCAGGCTGAAAGTCAAAGCAACTGTTGGGCTTTTCAGGGAATGTCCTTTCCTGAAGTAGGAAGGCAGGTAGAAAACCTGCTGGCAGCTGCCCGGGGGCATCTGCTGCCTGCCTGAGGAGGCATTTGTGCTTTTTGCACGCTGTCCTGTTCTTGGCAGCAGCTTTCCTGAGCTGGAAAAAGCATTAGCCATCATCAGCTGTAGAAACATTTTTTGGGCTGTGGATTTCTTTCTGTGGAGCCACAGCTGAACTGTGTTGGCCAAGTCTGCCTCCCTTCTAGGTGAGATTTAATAGAGCCAGGCGAGTTGCAAAAAACATCCAGCAGGTTTTGACTCCACTAGTCAAATCTAACCTGCAATTTGGATTGTTTCTCCCTACAGGTGTGCAGAAGTGAGGCCATAAACCAGGCTAGGGAACTCCATAGTACAACTCTGCAAATGTGGTGACAAGCTGGGCTCTGGTACCTGCTTTTCTGCCCTCCACTCAGCTTCTGCTGCTCACTACCAACAGGAGCCTGGTCTGCCTGTCCATGGGCAAGCCCAGGCTATATTTCTCATTTCATGTGAGTTATGGCTCCCAGGGAGCAGTGATCTTGTGGACTTTTCTGTCCCTGACCAAGAGCTCACAAAACCAATTTTCTCCTCTAATGCTACGCACTGAAGACCCCTCACCAAACACCACCACCAGCCACACATGAGCAGCATGCTCAAGCCAAGAGGAGGGAGCCAGCCCCCTGCAAGAACCAGAGGAATCCAAACAGGAGCAAGACTCAGGACAGAAACCAGACTCACAGAGGCTTGAGCACATTGCATTGCACAGACACAGTCTGGCCTCCTGGCCCTAATATCCTCTGACAGCTCCCAGAGCAGGAGCTGAGCAGGTTAGTGACTTGATCACGACACCAACTCCTGCGGGACCTGCTGCTCCACAGTCCCCACTGCCAGGCCCCAGCAAGGCACGCAAGGAGCTGCACGGATGGGCAGCCCCTGGGGCCTGGAGCAGTGACTTATCTTCTCGACAGAAGTGCTGGCCAAATGCTGGGTCCAGTCCAATCCTTGAAAACTGGAGTTCTGGAAGGCAACTTCAGCCAGGCCCTGGTGAGTGACTGTTTGTTTGATGGCTAATTGCTTATGAAAACAGAAGGCACAAACTCAATCTGTGCAGGTCTTATATCACCAAAGCCCACAGAAACATCCACCTCAAGTCAAAAGCTACCTGTCTGAGAGACTTTTAGCAAAATTTCTAAGTTTCTAACTCCCCTTCTGTCACACTGCAGAAGTAAAAAGCTAAAGCCAGCCTATGTAGCTCAGTTCATCAGGAATGTGTTAAGTTATGCCACAAAAACCATCCCTTTGCTGCCAAGCAGCAAACACACAGAGTTGTGAAAGGACATGCGTGCCTCCCAGTTAATGTCACCTTCACAGCTTCCATAGGTCACAGCACAAGCACACATCCGCTCCAAAATAAGATGCCAGGCAAAGCACGGATCCCATTCTGAACAATGCTGTGGGCCCAGGGAGAGATGAGGAATTTAAGGGAAGTAGAACAACAGGAAATAAGGAAAGTCCCTCCAGCAAAGACCCTGTGGCCCATCGGTGGTTGCTCAGCACTGCACCACACAGAGGAGTGACACAATGGAGTGACTAAAGGACTGCCTGGCAGCCAGCATTCCCAGGGCCATTGTTGCCAGCACGGGAACTATGCAGAGAGCAAACAAGAGCTGTGTTCCCAGGCACTGCAACAGAGATGCATCCACTCCAATATAATGACTTCCTGAAGCTCCTGGACATACCAGGCCATCCTAACTGGTAAATCATATCCTGAAGCAGAAAAAACTGTGCCAGGAGGGTATAAAGAATCAAGTATTCTGGACAGGCACAGGCTGAGGATAGATGTAACCTGAAAGTCACAGCAAGGAAGGAGATCCCCTTCAGAGAGTCTTTGTCTGGCCTAGGGGATATATGGGAGAAGTAGAGAACTAATCCCACCCAGTTGTGGTCTCACTCATGTTGCCTCTAGAAGTCACAAGGGATGAAGGCTTGGAGAAAGAGAGGGGATAATTTTATGGTCTCTTTTCTGGCAATGAAGGCCCTGTAAATCCCAAAGAAAACTGCTAGAAGCACCAGCTCCGGTCAGGAAAGGAGAAGCTGGACTGCTCTGGGCATCACTGTGGGAGCCATGCTGGCCTAAACAGCTCTCTCCAGAGGATGCTACATGCAATCAATGCATATAGAGGACAACAACAAGGACAGGCTGGGGAATCCATGTGGTGGTTTAGCTCTCAAAACAGCTCCTGCAGGGATTCAGAGCAGGGCGTTCCGGGCTAATCTCTGCGTCCCCTCAGGGAACCTGAGGATTACTGCCCTACATCTGCTCACAGGGTTGGGCCCCACCTTGTCAAGGCAGGGGAGGTGCTGACAGCCACTCTCAGTTCCGTAATCGGTTTGGGATAAGCAGCAATGGGCCCTGTCCACTGTGGTGCAGCACCTCTCAACGAGTCCCTTGTTCACAGGCCCAATGGCTTCTCTTGAGCCTTACCTAGGGCAGGAATGCACCTCATGGCTTGTCATCAAGGGTTGACTCCTGGCAGCAGCTACAGAGAGCCACAGTGCAGCTTCCTTGGCTACCTCACACAACAGTGTCTGGCCATCACTGACACCTACTCAGCAATAGCTCATGGTAGAGTCTTTGGCTACAGCCCCAGCCAGGGTGGGAGTGCAGGTCACACTAATCCCCAGAGCTGTGCTTTCACCTCTCAGCCCACGACCCGCACACTCAGCCAACTTCCCAGCAGAAAGGGCTGCAAAAACCTGCATGGGCTGAGGGGTTGTACTGTTACCTATACAACATCACCTACTTGCTTCTCCTTCTGCTCTCCTCTGCCTCCTGAATACGCCTCTCAGAGCTCACTGCTGGTCCAGACAACAGCTTCATGGGACACACTGCTGAGCCTTCTTCCTTTCAGGACTGAGGATGCTGGTTTGGGATCCAGCTCTGGCTGTGCTAGTTCCAAGCACTCAGCTCCATCTGCTGGCTGCTCTGTCCTTGACCGCTATGGAAACATGGAAAGCTCCATTAGGGACAGCCCCACGTTTAGCCAGTCTTCTCCCAGCCCTCCCATTCTGCAGTTGAAGCCATAGTCACAGGGCTGACCCAAATCATTTAAATGATGCGCGTTTCCAAAAAGGGAACATTACACTGAAAATATTTTATTAAATAATGTTACAAATAGGACAATACATATCAGATTAAATCAGAGATTTTTTTAATTTATAATCATAACTTAAACATAATTTAAGAAAGACTTTCTAAACATACAAATCTCAGGCTCCCATTTTATCTGTAAATAGTATGCAGGCATGAAATCCATACAAACACCTCCAATTTATTTTAAAATTACTTGTGCCAAGATCAATGGCCACAGACCTACTCAAGAACAAGTATTTTACATTACAGTTAACAGCACAGAAACATCCTCAGTAAAAGTTAAAAATTAAATACATATGTATATACATGTATTACAGTGCATAATCCCACAGGGATGAGATAATTTCAGATCTACCTGCTGCCTTCAGAAACCAGAGTACCTTGAATAAGCACTATGGTTCCTAGTGCTATTATTAGGAAAACCAAAAAAACCAAACCAGTGGGTTTAAAGTCTCTAAGTTTCTTGGGATATGCAGCAGAAACCCAAATAATTGCCAGTATCTGCACAGGTACATTTATTGACTGGGACATCCTCTTAAACTGACTTCCAAAAACCAGGATCAATGGTTTCAAAGCCATTCAACAAATACTTTTTCATACTGATCATTCTGTTTCTGCCAGCATAACCCATATGACTCCAGAGAAGACACCTCCAGCAGTGTAGTAAGTGATGTGAAATAATGCATGTCTTCACTTCACCTCGGTACCTTTGAGTAGAGCAGAGGAGGAACCAGCCTCCTCTTTAGGCAGCAGCACACTCTTTGCTCACCATCTGGACAGGAGATGGCAAGCTCCCAGTTATCATAACTACATGACTGAATGTAGACAGTATTTTGCCAGAAGGCCAGAGTTTTACTCTCTGCTTGTCTTCAGTGGAAATACTCGACAGCTTGAGCTCAAAATTTCTGAGCAAACACACAAGGTCTTTTGTATTGCAAGAGGTAAAAACATCTGGAGAGCTGCTGATTTGCATGCAGCTTCATTTTCCAGAAATCTGAGACAAAGGTGGCTTCCATTCCTGCAGAGAGAATAAAATTCCTCCATAAATCAGAAAATTGGCATAGATTTGTATTTGCTCTCATTTCAGAGGAATTTTGTATGCAGCAGGTAGCAAAACTGCACAAAAATGTTACTAATATTATATGCAGCTGGACAGAACCCCAAGCACAATCATCCTTAAGGAGCTGAATAACTATTTCTAATGCAATAAATCCATCAGTCTTGTTAGGAATTTCCATGCAATGCCAAGATGCATATTAGGTACCCCAAAGCACATATTGCTGTTTCAGCAATGGTTTAGCAATTAGCAGCTCTGATTGCTTGTGTGATAAAAAGGAAGAGAATTTGGGAGTGCAGACTTCTCATGCACTTACCTGAAACACCTGAGTTAGACATCCTGGCCAGTACTTTGGAAAATACCTTCAGTGGCTGTTTCATGCTGGTTACTGTAAAATACAGAATGAAAAGTACTTTAATGACAACAGATTTACATCAAATGGATTTTAGCAAAGGGATGGTACTGTTTTTCATGTAGCTTTTTGAGACACAACTTACCTGAAAGGAATAAATTTCTTTGCTGCAAGAAGAATAAGAAAAGGTATTAGATTTCAAGACAAAAGCCCCCTCATGCAAACATTTTCTTCTATTAAAAAACTCTGAATATCTCAAAAAATGTCATTATCGATCAATAAATCCCACAGGCAGTTATTAATGTGTCATTAGCCCCATCTCAAATTCTCATTCACTTTCCCTGGAAGGAGCTACCAATAAATAAAGTGCTGCTTTTTTCATCTAATTCTTGTTTTCTACACATTTGTTTTTTACTATTTTTTCACTTTTTCAGATGTTCATCCAAAAGCCAGGCATGGCACGTGTGGGTCTTTGAAAACAAATTTGGAACTTGTCAAAGTACGGGAATTAACACTTTTTCAAAAAGCAAGGTATAGGGCTTTGGAGTTTTTGGGGGGGTTTTTTGATTTCTTTTTCTCCACTGAAAACTTTACAGGAAGGTAAATAAAACCAGTGGCCCCAGACCAACTGCTCACCTTTTCTCCGGAAGCGCTTTGCAAGCCAAAGGAGGAATGATGCTGTGGACAGCAGGGAGGCAGATGTGGCTGCTATGCCCACAGAGACGTAGCTGACTAGCTCAGGAGCTGAAAGGATGAAAAGGTTTCAGTGAGATCAAGAGGCCTGTGTGGTTTTTGAAGCCCTCTCTACTTCTTCCCTTTCCTTGTGCTCTTCAAGAGGAACCAGAATTGCAGCTTGTATCCCTTAAGCTTTCTCTTGACGAGACAGGACATATCCTGTACACAAGGTAAAAAGCTGCATGCTAAAAATTAACCCACCCATTGACAAAGTGATGGCAAGGCAACAAGCTCCTACAAGGTCTGTCTAACCTCCAGCTTCACATGGCAATTTGTGCTTATTTTTTTTTTTCATGTTTCAGTTCATATTTCAACTCCCTGTGTGCCATCTTCCTCTTTCACCAATACTGTTGAGATAATGAAATTATTCAAGGGTCTAAATTCTGCTCAAGCAAATGTAAGTGGAGTTGAGGTTTTAGGATCTCAAGCATTTCAGGCAGGCTCAGGGTGTTCTCACTGAGGACAGTGATGGAGCTCTTGCTTCCTTGAATGAGAAGGCAAGGCTGAGCCTCCTGTCCTTTGAAACCGCAGCCTGACAGAAAAGCTCTGTGAGGTCTTTTGGCTGAGGAGTTCATCCAAGAAACTATCACACCAAATTAAAAAATCTATAAACTTTTCCACGGAGAAACAGACGAATGCAGAGTTTCCCACAAGGTTCCGTTTCTCTACAAAAGCTTTTGTCTTTATTCATATGAAAACAGCTCAACATGAGAAATATTTTTATGAAAAAACAAACAAAACAACCTGAAATCAGGTGGCAGCTTTTGGGTTTTGGATAAGAAATCAACATTTTTCATCAAGATCTTTAGTATTTTTCCCCTCCTCTATTTTCTTCAATTCATGGACTTCACTAGATGTTCTAGCTCACTGGTTGGTATTACCATCACCCCCCTCCCCACCTCATCTGACTAGAAACCCAGTGCCACCTCTCTGAGGTTAGTCACAGGTAAAATACCTTCACATGTGGGCAGGCTGGCACTCCAGGTTCCTGAGTGACTGCACTCCAGAACATGAGAGCCATTGAGATTCCATCCCTCAAGACAGCTGAAGTGGCAGGAGGTGTTGTATGTGAACATCCCAGCACCATGTGAGCAATCCATAGAGCCTTTCTGAGGAGAGCTCAGTGGTTCACACTGTACAACTGAAACACAGAAAGAAATGGTTAAGAGTCATTAAGGAATTTCCTGCCTTTGGCACTATTGTTTGCACTGGCAGATGTACACTTTATTTTCAAATTCGTTTGACTTTGGGATGGGAGCAGCTCACAGAGCCGTGAGTAGGCACTTCTAAGGCAGGGCAACTCACAGCTGAAAACATGGGAGCATAATTTAGTCTGGAGCCAGAACCCTAAAGGATTATTGATTTCAACATGTTCCCCAGTGACCAGCAAACTGCCATTTGCCAACCCAGTAAGTCTCACCTTTGCATCTTGGCACTGGCTCTGACCACTGTCCCTGTGCTGTGCACTCAGTGCTGGACGGGCCATCCACAACGTAGCCCTCATTGCAGTGGAACTCACAGCGTGAGCCATAGGTGAGATCTGCAGGATCACAGGTCACAGAGCCGCCTTCTGGCCAGCTTACAGCCTCACACCTCACAGCTGCAACACAAGGAGACCAACAGAAATCAGCACAGAGGCCTCAGGAAAACCACTTGCCCATGCTGACAGCCCTGAGCGCTCAGGTGAGCAGGGGTAGGGAAAGGTACCTGCACAGGATGGCTGCTGCCTGTTCCAGGCCCCAGAAGACCCACACTGCAGCGTGGCTGGTCCTGTCAGGGTAAAGCCTTCCTCACAGGTGAACTCGCAGATGGTACCCCAGGTGAGCTCCAGAGAGGGATGGGAGCAGTTCACAGCACCACGGGCAGGCATTTCCAAGGCAGGACAGGTCACAGCTGAA